TTGACATATATTTGGCTTATGTCGCCTGTCAGTGTTGCCTGTCGATAGACAATCTATTCATCTGTAACCCTCAACGGATTTGCCAAAATACCAAAATATTCCAATTGCACATGCACTTACGCTTCTAAGCGACTATCTTTCACCCCCTACTACTTGCTTTTACTCTTTTTTCTTTATTAAATGCATCTGTATGCATACGCTTGTTTCTTTCTATACATTCATATATGTATGTATGCATGTTATACGCTTCCATCCATCTGCTGCTCAGGTGCCAAAAATGCTCGTACTCATCTGTTTTTGTGTGAATTTGCGTTTAGCTTCCAAGTGCTGCACTTTATTGGTTGTATATGTATGTATGCACTTGCTTTTCGCCTGCTGCATTTTCACACCAATGCATTCTTATGCACATATCATTTGCATATCATTATTTGCACACTAAATCTCTGCGCGCCACTTTGCTGCACATCAACACGAGCAACAACATCAATATATATGCAAATTCATTTACATATATAAACCTTGTAGGAATATTCAGGAACTTTCATACATTTTCAAGCGTTAAAGTCAATGTTAAGACACACTTTAAAAATTTGCAATATTTTTTCACTCCCTGGATATCTCTCTCTCTCTCGTTCTGACTAGTCTGCTTTGAAAGCATTTTCCAAATTAAAAGTGTCGGGCATTGAAAGAAGTTGTACAAATAGAATATGTGGTCAAAATTTTGGGAACGAGGAACGAGTAAAAAAAAAAGTATTTCATTGACTCACCCGTCAACTCTTGATATATATTTTTTTATACACATCTTAAGGCATATAAAAAAAAGTGCCGATTGACATCCAATGTATGCGGTTCGGGCATATATGTGAATGTATTTAGTACATCAAAACATAAACTTTGTTCAAGCTGGATATATAATATTCTACTCTGAAAGTTTACTAGGCAAAGGAGTTTTGCTAAAATTTGCGCACAAGAGGTACTCCGACGCGAGCGCAAGCATGACAAATAGTCAGGAGAAACAATTTTCCACACAATTTTCTCCTTACTAAATATTTGTGGCATCCCTATCGGGTTCCTTTGCTTAATTCGTTGCATATGCATGCACTCGCGTCTGAGTACCTCTTGTGTGCAAATTTTAGCCAAACTCCTTTGCCTTGCACTTGGCTGCCTGGTGGTTGTTTTGGTTATTTGACTGGTGTTAGTTTTTTTTTCTCATTTAAGGCGAAAACTGTGCATAGCTGAGTGAACTGAATTAATGTGCATAGCACCACATCCACTTTACTGATAGTCTTTTGTTTTGGTTATTCTATTTTCTGTTACAACGCTGTTGGTCACATTGCCAGCAAGAGCTTCGAAAAAGTAGATTGTCTTAAATGGTCTGTACATGGTAGTAGTGCAGTGCTGAGTAGATGGCTATCTAAAAATCAAAAAATGCTTAAATATACTTGAGTACATACAAACAAGTATTTAAGGTGAATTGGCGTGCGTAGATAATGCTGTGATAATTGTGTACCAAGAAAGGTTGGATGTCCTATAACCACACAAGAACCTATAGATTGCGCAATAAGAACCAAGTGTTACAGTATCTTTAGGAATGGATAACTTCTCGAAAAGATTCTAAAATTTACAGGAACTCAACTGATTTGGATTCCGTTAATATAATTTTTAAACATGTTTACCTTCTAATCTTGAATACTTATCTGGGTGACTATTGGAAAAAGATATGATTAGAGAGTACTTTTATTTTTCAACAGATGCAACTTTTAGAGGTACTTTCAAATCGATCCAGCTCAAGTAAAACTTAATATTTTTTCCAAAATTTTTGGGTGGAAATCTCAAAATATAACGGATCCTTCGACAGAAATTCCGATCGACCAAAGTACAGAATTTTTATGGGGAGTGATGCTCCATAATGTACATACATGCATATATTAGAGAGAATAGATGTATGAAAAAGTGTTTAAATGTGCTTATAGGAATCGAATAGTCTCAACAAATAAATCGCATATCAGCACATGAGTCTATACCCCGAACTAATAGAGATGAAATGCGTTCCCGGTAACATAAGTTCTAAAGTAAATTTACCTGCATATATGTAACTGTTTTCTCAATCGGTCATTATGCGGTTATAGACACATGTGTAGGTTAGATTTGTTGGTTGAGAGTGTGAGAATCGCTTATCTGGAGTATGAAGACGCTGTTTTTACCTTACCCTCATCGTTAGAAAAAAAATAATAATTTAAAATATCCACGAGGGAATTAAAGAAACTGGTAGCGCGTTCAAAAGTTATGTTTTTGAGATACCGGCTACACTGCTAGAAAATTGCTGCCCTAATTGGTTTGCGGGTATGCAAAAGTCTACAAATCAAGCTGAAGAATGTCTTAAAAACCAATAAGATAATTTTTCCCATAAAATTTATTCCTTAAGAGGTATTCTCAGGACTTTTTTTTAATCACTTTAGTAATAATAGGAAATTTATCATTTTTGTATTTATCATAAAGAGAGTTAACGTTGTGATTACTAGCTAAGCATGTACTAATACTTAGTGATTATAAACACATGGACTACTCTAGAATCCTCCTTTGGCTCACACTAATATTTTTCTTCGAACAGAAATCAAAGTGTCGACCACCACCACCACTCCCACATCGAATCAATCGATATCCAATTTGCCGCAGCTTCTCGCCAAACAGCCATTCTAAAGTGCACAATTAGCCATTATTTTATATTTTTATCGCATCCGCCTGCACATGATAGAAAATGTTTACTTCCACTCCAAACTTTTGCACGCCATTTTTATGATTGCGGTTAATAATGATTTTTAGCGCATTTTGCTGTTTCGATCTTTTGTGAAATACCAACTGGCGCGCGGCTTATTAGCCAAGATTGTCAGTTGCAGCCAAACAACTTATGCCGACAACTTTCACGCCCCACAACAACGACCATTGCATAAAAACAGAGCTGGCTGCTCGCGACGAGGCATAACAATAACAATGACAACTTGTCATAGAGGGTACTCGGTAAGTTTGTGACCGTAGAAAGTTTTCGCCGGACTTGGTTATTGCTGACCTCTGCGCTCTCACATGCAACGAAGCAGCAAATAAGCGCAACGAAGCATATACTTGGGGGCTGTGGGTGTGACCGACCAGCAACAAGACAATATTGCACTCAAACACACACACACACACACACACACACACACACAGTAATTGCTGATATGCGCGTAGATGCAGTCACTTTACTCTCCTTTCTTATTTTCCATTCTATTCTACTGCTTTGAACTTTTAAAATTCAATGGTGGAATAAACAAAATACGAAATTGCATTTTTTTTTTGTTTTTGTTGCTGCAACAGTAAAAGGTGAAATGCCAACATCAGCATATATGAGGGAGGCAAGCAAGCTGGCAAGCAACAGCAACAACTCAGCCAGCGACAAAGTCAGCAGAGCGCATATTGCAGTGCCGGAGTGCCTGCAATGCCGGAAGACAGACTTTACGCAAGTCGTTAGCACTGACAGAGTAATTCATGGTGGCATTATTGCTGTTGTTGTTGTTGTTGTTGTTGCTACCGCCACCAACCAACTGTTATTGCAATGCTTTGTGTTGGCGTTGGCACTGCACTTCCTTTTTCTCTTCTCGGTTCGGCCCTCCATCACGGTTGGACAATTGCTGCAAGTTGCGCTCGGCTGCAGGTATTTGCGCCATTCGGCCATTTCTTCTAAGGTACGAGATGCCTTCTTTTTCGCACTCTTTTATTTACTTTGCTTACTCATTTTTTGCTTATATTCGCCAACGTCAGATAGAAACTTTCATAGGTCCTTAATGTCCAACAAGCGTAAAAAGACATTTTCACAGATCATCATTTTATGGCGCAAAAGTATAAGGGAACTTTATTTTCGCACTTTTTTCTGCAAAGAGTCTCTTTTTAAGTCGTTTTTTCGCCAACTTTCTTATTCTTTTTCCGACCACTACTCTCCAACGCATACAGCTGTATTTTATTTTATTATCAATGCATTTTTATCATTTACGCGTTAAATTTGACACGAATGACCATAACGAAGCAGAAATGAAGGCAACACTGGCGCAGATGAGGGGGATACGGATAAGAAGGTGACTGAAAGTAGGAGGTACCCTGGCGGCGTACCAAAACCCCCTGTGCATGATTGTCATTCGCTTGGTTAAATTCATTTTATCTTATTTTAATTCCACTTCTTTTTCATTTCATTACCTTTGTACCTTTTCTTTATTCACCTTTGAATGCAGCTTTGCACATTTCTCTGCGCTGCACTTCAAGTATTTCTGTTATCTCATTGCCGCAATGAAATGACGCAAAGCGACCATTACTGTTATTTGGCGCAGTGAAATGCAACGTTCCAGCAGTGAAGCACTGCAGCGTTTTAGTATTGAAATGAAAAGGTGCGAAAATATGTGTGAAAACAAAAGGAGAACTCTCAGTGCAAATGGTCCATAATTTAAGGATGGAAATGCCAAGATAAACGAGCGATTTTAAGAATTTATCTAATAATAAAAGTTGGCATTAAATTTTAAGTTTAAATATAGTATAACAATTTTTGAAGTCTAAAAAAAAAACAAATTAATTAGCTAAGCAAAACTATGTACATACTAGTGATGAACAGAAACGAGGAAGCGGAGCAGGACAGCCTTTAGAGTATGGAACAGTATGGTTCTAAAAAGAACCGTTCCGAAAAAAGCAGAACTCGATTGCACAAGAACCGAAAAACGGTTCCGAAAAAATCTGAAAATTATCGTAAAATAACCAAAAAATAACATAACTAAGAAACCATTCAAAAGAACCGAGAATGGATACCACAAAACCGGAAATCGACCACATTCCACTATTGGCAAAAAATTTATTGTTTTGGCATAAGGTCTAAATATACAGATATCAGCCCCAAATTCGGTTTCGATATGTTTCATTGAGTTCTTTACTGACCCACCAAGTTTGTTTTGTTTCGAGGCACTATGTCATATAACCGCGATATACCCGATCTGGCAGACTTACTTCAACTTCGTTGGTTTTGTTGCTATCGACTTGAACATTTTTTTTTATTTCCTACCCAATTTATTAAATGTTTAAAATATTGATGTTAGTTACCTAAATTTGCCCAATTTTTTTATTATTTTACTATAGGAAATAAATTGCGGTTTGATCTAAGCAAGTCGTTGTGAAAATTTTAAAAACTATTTTAAAATTTTTCAAGCTCATTCCGCAGACTGAACAGGATTTATTTTCAGGAATAAGGGATTAACGTAGCACCTTCTAAGACTTATACAATTTTCGTATCAAACATTTTGTGTTTTTCGACCCGCCCTAATATACATACATGGCATAGCGTATGAGTAAGATTTTTTCCTGCTCATTTTTCAAACACCATGACCACTCAAGCCTTTATTATTTATCCATCGCTTTTCTGGCTTTAATGGCTTGATTTTTTTGTAGCAGATCAGGCTTTATCAAAAATAAAAAAAAATACACACAAACGGGTTTTTTTGAATTATTTTCTCTGTTTAAGTTTGAATCTTTTTAATTTCTTCGTAAAAAAAAAACACAAAAAATTGGAACGTTTAACCAATTTCTCAGTTTTAATTGCGCCGAAAAGTGATGTACTATAAGCGGTTATGGAGTTTTCCATATTTCGTATTAAGATTGTTAAATCGGTTTGCATGTTATAGGTGCTTAGGTGGAATCACTTTTTTTTAGCTGAATAACGGTAAATGACAAATATCTCGAAAACCTCAGCATAGAAATCATTTAACTAGTTTTTCAGAATTTCATAGGAATTGGGTAGGCGCATCGAATGATATAAAAAAAAAAATACTGATCCAGTGTAATTAGTACACCGTTTTACTTTCATAAGTGTATTAGCACTCCAATTTATTTTAACCACATTCAAACGCTCTAAATATTTAAACACAATTGAAAATTTTCCAGTACACTGTTCACCACACTTCACGGCAGCGACCCATGTCGTCGGGTAGAAAACCTGGANGACTTCCTTCTCATACTGCTTGCGTACCGCAGTCTCGTCCAGTTCAACGCATTGATTGGCAGCTCCACGAATCTTCGGTGCATTCGGACATTCAATAGTCTTCACGCAATATTTGACACAGGGCTTTGGTGCGACTGTAGCGCCTTTCAACTTCGCCATACACTTGTAGTGCACCATGCAGCTGACATCAACGGTTGGTAGTTTGTTGTTGATGTAAATCGGTGGATGGCGCGTACTCGTCGCAACGGCAGCAGTCTCACTAGTTGATGACGATGTTGTTGTAGCCGGCGTAGTGAGACGTAATGCAACAATGGGCCTACTGAGTGCGATGAGACAGAAGAGCGTGCTAGCACATAAGCAAAACGGCGATAATATATGCATGGTTGTTGTAAGTACTTAATTAAATTACACAAAATTTCGTGTGCGCACTAAGTCCGCTGAAATAACGTTCGCAACTGAAATCGCTCAGGCCAGATTTCAAATCAGCTGCAGCTCGCAGCATTACGCTGGCCTTTTGGTATAAAAAAAATAAATAAAAATGGCATTGAAACCAGCGACACGCGATAACCCTTGACTGATGGTAATCGGCAAGATAAGGCGCTTTGTATTTTAGAGAGTAAACGGAAGGCGTAAGAGAACGAGAACATGTGGAGATCATTCTAAAAAATAATGAGTACATTTGTATGTGGGCAAATCCGAGAAATGGTCAACTAAAAATTCTTTGCAAGACCATATAGACTATAATTACTTTACGATGAGAATAAATTGCATCAAAGAAAAGCATGAAAAAAATTCTCTAAAACGGTTTTACTATTTCTGTATATACACAAATTATTTTTAGTTCAATTCGCTAACGATTATTCACTTAAACCAGAAATATCAAATCACACAAAAAATGCTTTAACAGGTAAATTGCGTTTAAACTAACTGGCATAAAATGTAATTAAATACAATTGCTTTTGCAAATATTTATTATTCAGATGTGAAAGAGCGCTTTATTTCAATATAATAAATTACATTTTTTAGCACATAAATTTCAAGAGTACTTCAAGTATCTTCTATTTTATATGGATATAATTTAACACTGACAAGCGAAACAAGGCAAATGTATACATACATGTGTATGTAATACATCCACACATATGAACGCAGTGGCTATATAATTCGTATATAACCAAGCTATTTGCATATAAAAACACTTAGAATGAGTTATTTTTAATTTATATGAATAGCACTCGGCGCAATAATCAAGTTTCGTTTCATGCCTCTATGTATATTAGAATGGGTCGGCGCCCATACAAAAAAAAAAAAAGTTTCCTATTGCTCCCAATCACTCGTTTGAGAGTTAATTTTATGATATTTTTTGAAAATTTTTAAGTTTTTTGTTTTTTTGATNAGAGTTAATTTTATGATATTTTTTGAAAATTTTTAAGTTTTTTGTTTTTTGGGGAAAATAAGTGTTTAAATGTTGTACTGTTACAAACCAGCCTTTGCCTATTTCTGATTGGCTGAAGGAGAAAACTTTCTGATGCTGAATGGCAATGCCTTTTGTGCAATATGCAAGCCTAGATAGCTTTTCATAAGTCAATATAATTATGTTGGTTAAGTCTCCCATACAAAATAAGCTAATGGCCTATTTTTCTGGTCAAATAAATAAGATTTGACCCATCCAGCTGCTTTTAATTCTGTAATTCGCAAACTATTGAGGATGGATTAATGAAATTTTGCACAAGGTACGCTTTAAGAGTTACTTTTACTCCACCCTATTATATAACTGCAATTTTTAAAAAGGCAAAAACTGATATATTTAACTGACTACAAAGGCTGAAATGCTCAAAACTGATATTAGAATTTCCCTCTAACAAGGAATTATAAACTGACAGATATGGATAGGTATATGGTTCTGCCACAACTGAATGAATTGTGCCAAAAGTGCCCTTGTGAACGAAAGTACCAAAAACGGCATTATTGTGCCTACTTTTCCATCACTGATTCATACTTATGTATTCTCTCGAAAAATTTTCACTAAGACAAGCAAGTGTGTTCATACGATTTTCTCCGACAGCTGGCAAATTTTCACTTCGCCTTAATATGTAAGCAAAAACAAAGGAGTCATGAGATTAATTTGTGTATGCCTGCCAAAAAAATTAAATGAACAGACACATGGGAGAGAGTGAAGTGTGAAAGTGGCATGTGTGAGTTGTTGAATGAACATTTTCGCCAACACGATCAAGCAATTAACCCATACACATACGCTAGTTCTAAAAAATTCGAGCCTAGTAGTTTATTTATCTATGTATTTTTAGTTTGTCACTTGAAAAACGTCCAAGTTGTTAGTGGTTTCATTTTGCATTGGTTTTGGTTTCTTTATGAATAATTCAAAATTCTGCGCAATAAAAGTGTACAAATTTTACGGCAGTGGTAAAATTCATATTTGATTTGATGATTGTCAAATATTTTGGTTGATTTTATTTTTATTTTATTTTTTTTGTGGTGCAGAAAACATAAAACCACATATACAACTACGCATTGGTTTGCTCGCAATTTTACACTTTTTTAGTCTGAAAAATAACTAAATAAAATTGTAGCAAATATACTGAAAACACTTTTTTATTTCTTTTAGAAATGGCTGTCGCAGTTGTATGAAACTTATACACGGTGCTTCACATATTGTTTTTTTTCAAATATTTAAAAAAAAAATCGTTATTTTGTGTGATTGATTAATTAGAAAAAGCAAACATCCCTATTATTTATGAAACAGGATATAATTTGTGTGGCTGCCTCGGCTGTCATGGCAGTAGCGCAACCTTTTAACCCAGTTTTCCAAGACCTTGGTCTCACGGATGTCGTGAAAAATAATACCTCAGTTTTTAGTCCAATAAACGGGAGATCCCGTAAAAAGTTGCAAGCCTACTCAAAAAGTAATACACTATTGAACATCTAAAAGACGAACCCTTTATTTGACACCTTATTTCTTGTAATCCAACGAACGAGCGATGTTCTCATAATTGTTTAGACAGGTGGCAACCCTATAGGAATTTAAAGTACCAAAGATAATATTCCTAACGATACAGATGATACTTAAAAAATCTCGCCTACATCTCGACTTTCCCTTATACTATATACAGAAGATAGTAATTTTTAAATAGGTGGCAACCCGTTTCAAAAAATTTCAGTTTTTTTGCATGCTAAGGTCAAACCCTTTCATTTGGTATCTCAATTTGAAATCCAACGAACGGCGAAAATCTTTTAACTTTTTTTTTTGGGTGGCAACCCTACTACGGAAAATAATACATTATTGCCCATGCAGACGCTAAGTCGTTTCGTTTGACAGTGAGGGTGCAGAAATGATGCCTACACTTATTATGTTTTAATATAGTAATTTTTTAGCAGGTGGCAACCCTTTTCAAAAAAATAAAACAATAGTGCTTTTCTGGAGGCCAATCCTATTAATTTGGCATGTCATCTTTTGCATTCCAATGAACGGTGCAGATCTTGTAGTGTTTTAGACAGGTGGCAGCTCTATTCAAATTCTAAATAAAATGTTCACTCTCCTATCGATACAAAGTATATTAGAGAAAATTTCGTCAAAATCCGTTGGTGTTGTTTCGCATCTCTACACTGCACTTTTGAAAATGTAAGAACTCTATATAGAAGTGATACAATTGCGTTTTGTTGTGATTTTGTAGAAACGGGGGCGCTATTTGGTTTTTCTAAAAAAAAAAAAACTAAATGCAATTTGCAATGTGTGCCAGAATAAGCTTTCCCTGGGAAGTGAAGCGTCAAAAAACGAACAAGCTTGAAAAATCATGCTTCACAATACCAAGAATTTTTGACGGGTGTGGAAACTGTATGTTTGTAAGGTGTTCCTTGTCGCTAACACCCGGCTTCACCGGCAATTTAAATGGAAAATGATTTTTTTATTTACTGTAAATTTTCATATATAATTCAAAGAATTAAAATAATTTTTCACTTAAATTGCTTTCGTGAAATTGGCTGTAAGGCGCCCAAAATTGAATTTCAAAAACTTGAATAATATTCCAAATGTTAGTCAGAGTTTTAAGAGATTCGAGTGTCATATTTCATCGAAAACCGTGCAGCCGTTTCTGAGTGGATATAAGCCTCGCATAGTGCAGGTTTTTAATTGCATCAAATTTCGAAACACCCTATACCGGTGAAAAAAGTTCTTTATTAAAAAAAAAAAATAAAACTTTATCACACATCTACAGCCCAAAGGAATTTTTTAAATTCCTTTTTCTATTAGTTAATTGAATTAAACCTTTCAAACAGGTGGCAGCCCTGTTCAAAAGTTGTTTTAAGCTTAATCCTTATTAACTCTCCTTCGTCAGAGATTGCGATACATATTTTAACTAGCTGCTGAATTATGTAAAATTAGACTTTTTAAACATGTGGCAACCCCGCCAAATATGGTTCAGAAAAAATTATTTTCAAATCTCTTCGATTGATATGATATTTTATAATTTTAATATTCGACTTCGGCTTCGGTGTTCGGCCGAATATTGAATAGTGCCTAATATTATGCTTCGGCTTCGGCCAAACTTTCAGCTTCTGTCGGACACTAATAGATATTGAAGATATGGGAGATTAGGAAAAAAGAATGTTACTCATACGCCATGTATGAGCTACAAAAGTACGAATTAATGAAATTATAAAAAATAAATTATTAACTATTTGCATTACAACTATATTTATTGTTCAGTCTTCTTCGTTGAAAGCTCGTTGTTTTCGGAAAGGGGCTGTAACACAAATCCAAAGAATTTACAAAAAAAAATTTTTTTTTAATTTTTTCTGTTTTTTTTTTATTCACAGTGCAAACTTAAAATGCAAATAACTTGCGAAAATGACCTGATACAGAGAAACAGGGCCATAATCTACGACCAGAATATAAGTTTACGTGTTTCGACGTTTTTATGTGTATTTTAGTCTGCCTGCAGTGTTATTGAAGAATGAAATCATTAATTTTTATTTCTGCATCCATAAGTTTAAAAAAAATAATAATAAAAAATATTCCGACGAACTGATAACCTCCTACTTTTTTGGAAGTTGGTAAAAACTAAAAAAATCTAAAAATACTTTTGGCAGTCCAATTTCTAAAAATAAGCATAATATGTACGTATGTATGTATGTATGTATGTATGTAAGTATGCTATAAATTTTTAACTATGCTCGCAGCTGAGTAAAATATATGCATTTTATCACCCTATGACACACAACGACAGATAGAGTGGAGTTGCGTATGAGTGTATAAAATTTACAACAAATCATGATGTAAAAATCATGTGCGACCAACCTAAGTAAAGCTTCTATTATGCAGCTTTTATATGCAGTTTAACATCAACACTTGGGCATCCGGTGGCTTTCATAACTAAATATATGAATATAGATATATATATGTGCATACATATGCAAGTACATGTAAATTTGCTACGTCATTATTTGAGTAAGCTATGGAATTGGCGA